CCTCAGCTTCTTTAATAGGAGTGCCACAGAGAGTGAGGTGTAGCGATGGATTGCCAGAATGTGACAGCTTTTGCGTATTTCCAATAATCAAGTACTTTGTCTTTTTGGTATTGGGAACCATCTTATTCACAGATAACCATTTGCTAACTCCGTCGAGACTGGTTTGGAGACCAAGCTGGATATGCGAGGGGTCACTGTTTGCTTCCCAGATGGTAGTATCGTCAGCGTATGTGTCAACATTTGAGTTGGGAATTCCAATTGGGAGGTCATTAATATACAGTGAAAATAAYATAGGGCCTAAAATCGAGCCTTGCGGCACCCCCCCGAGTCAACGTCAGTGCGTCTGACAATGTTCCATTAATACAGCAGCGTTGTGTTCGTTCTCCAAGATATGATTTAAACCATTCCTGATATGTGTTGGTTGCGTGATACTTGTCGATTTTTTGAAGCAATAAATCATGATCAACAAGATCAAACGCCTTGCTTAGATAAAGCAAAACAGTTCTTAGGGTTAGTTCCTACGAGTTTTCGAGAATCCATAGCTTTAAGCCAATTGTCAGTAAGACTTAAGAGCGCAGTTTCACAAGAATGATGTGGTCGATAAGCTGACTGTTTACAGTGAAGAAGATTGTTTGAGGTGAGGTATCCAAGATATGAATGTGCCACATGCCTTTCCAAGGGTTTAGATATTATTGACAAGATTGAAATTGGCCGGTTATTATTTCTGTCATGTACTGAACATTTTTTATGAAGAGGAGTCAGTTAAACTCGCTTGAAATTAGTTGGAAAGCAGCAGTAAGGGGGACTCGCGGTCACCATTTGGGATTGCCCGGGAATTACCCRTGTTTACGCACTAGCGTCCCCCGCGGGAATTACCCGTGTCCCGTTATATGTTGCGCGAATGTTAGGAATATTTGTCTTATATATGCATAAATGTAAAGAGTTTGCCAATGACTTCTGTGTGGGGTGTTTGACTGCAAGGGTGTGCATACCTAAGCCCAAGGGTTTCTGGTGTTGTGGTAAGAAAATGCACATAGAAGATGACACGTCAGCACAGTGTTACGAGTGTGGTAAAAATATTCGTAATGTCGTACCAAATGCTACCAGAGAGCAGTATTACGCCAATGGAGGTCGTAAGAAAACACCTTATAAGAGAATAAAATACTTTAGGGACTGGATGAGTCATATCCA